TAATAATAATAATAATAATAATAATAATAATAATAATAATAATAATAATAATAATAATCATAATAATATGCACTCTTGATTTGGAATACCTAACAGTCGATATTAAATACCAATTCATCCATTTATTTCATCATATAGCAAGCTACAAATTTTATATCTCAAAAAGATTTATTTTTATTTATTTTTTTTATTTCTCATTTCAATTTTGTATAAATTCAAAATTCTGGAATTGCAATCAAATTTTGTTTACCATCAAAATGACGCTTATGTCCGTTGTCTTTCCACTCTATTTGTATTGCGGAGCTTGCATATTTATTTATATGCTGGATTCCGTTTTCTGGGATGAGTTTCAATAGATGAGAGATTTGCATTAGAATAAATACGATTTTTTATTTCTCTGCATCTCCCTTTAATAGTCTTCGACGATGAGGGCTGTGCCGGCTAGAAGAACTTGCTCCGCTGTGGCACCAACTGCATCCAGTTCCAGATGGCAGATCAGCTTGTCGCGGCTGGCTCTGCTGTATAGCGGCAGGGTAATGCGCTCGTCGGTGTGCTGCCTGTTGCTGGCAAAGCGATCGATTTTCTTGAACTTATCCTCAGTGATGTTCGCTTCGTTGTTCTCTTTGATTTTGTATGTGATGTAAAATGGATTCGACTCGCTGCTGTCGAGTAGCTGCGTGTTACCATCCAGCTAACGGAGTTGAAATTAAATATAGTGTATTTGAAATCGTTTAAGAAATGCAACATGTATTTATCTAGACAACAACCACATGTATCATAGTCAGTGCATGAACCAATAACTACGAAATAGTGCTACACTTAACGAAAGCATTAATTTAACGAACATGTGACAAAGTGCCAATTTTAACATAAACAGAGTCCTGCTCCACACTGTTAATAGTCAAAAGAATATTTTAACAGGAGGAGCAAATATGTAATAGACGATCCGCAACTATCATTCAAATAGGTACAAAATATAGTAAATCAATAAATCTGATTAGATATATACAAAAAAATAAGGTTTAACAATATTTGATTGTTTTCAAGCAGATAAAATTCTGCTATCTATTTATATTCACTAGAAGCGCTACCCATAAAGTACTTGCATTGGATAACAGACAACAGCAGTGCTGTGCAGCCCTGGTGCCCAGTTAACAGAGCGCCGGAATGTCAATCAAATAAACAAAAAGAAGCGGCGTGAAAAAAGCGAAAAACTGCAGAGAAATCAAATTCTGCAGCAATCGCAAACTAAATGTTGTAAATATAAATTAAATTTAATTCTAATCAAGTGGTAAACAAACAAAAAACGTCAAGCTGGAGACCCACTTTATGGCCAAGATGGGCAAGGTAAGCAAAGCGAAAAAAAAAAAAAACAAAAAAAGGAAAGAAAAAGACAAAAGAGTTCAGCAGCCAAGCAATGAAAAGAGATAGCGTTGATTGACAGACAGACAGACAGGCAGGCAGGCAGTTGAGACGGCGGCGCGGACGGACAGCAGCACGCATCAGGCAAACTAAATGTATATGTCTGCATGAAAAAACGGCAACAGAGAAAAACTCACCTTAAGCGGCGCCAGCTTTAGCAAAAGCAGATCCCCAGCTCCTCCTGCCCTGTCGCTGGCCTTCGCACACTGCAATTGGAGTCGCTGCGTGGATACACAGCATTTGCGCGCCTGCTGCAGCTTCAAGCAGGCCAACAGATTCTCGCAGTTGAAGACCTGCTTCAGATTCAGCTCCTGGCCGAATTCCAGCTGCAGCGACTGCTTGAAGCGCTGCTCTGCTGCCTCCGCACGCACCATCAGACCGCGCAGGTAGTCCACGGCGCTGCTGCTGCTCGGACCTGGCCACAGCTTCTGCCAGCTGTGCGGCACCTGTGCGAGGGAGGAGGAAGATGAGGAGGAGGCATATTAAAGTTAATTTTTTTTTATACGCATAGGAAAGAGATTTTCAAAATCTGGGCTATATCGTCGAATGGTTTTAGTATGTTTAAAATGTCTATACTATAGCTATAGATAATGTCTACATAGAGCTAGATCAAAATATGAGTCGAGAATATCAGATGTGGGTAAAAGTCTTTTATAGTACCCCTTCACCATATCCAGATAAGCGTATACTATAGTTAATCAGACATAAATGGATGGTGTACTAAAGAGAGTTATAAGAAAGCAACCCAAATTTTTCTCATAGTATTTCTTATAACTTTATATACTTATATAATGATGCTGCATAGTTGATTTAATACTTTAACGTGTTGCATCTGTTGAAAGAAGTATGATGTGTCTATGACAATTACGTGAGTCTAAGGAACACCTATTAATACATATATAGCAAAATTTGGAACCAATCCAATATGAATTTTAATATTTCTAAAATAATGCAGAGAAAAAAAACTAGTTCTTATACAAAGTAAAAAATATCCTATGTGATCTGTCTGAATATACAAAATCAGTTCTACTTCAAGTTCTTAACGCTATTTTAAGTGAAAACCTTCTTACTATTTATAATATCATTGTGCTGTTTCTCCCTTACATACGTATATGTATTCATATAAGAATATAGTCAAAACTCTATGCATATGACTACTAAAGTAAAAAGTCTGCACGCAAACTGAAACATAGTCTTATGTATTCCTGCAAGAAAGTGTTCACTGTACTTTATAACTTTCTAAGTTTATTTGTTAACGAATTAATTCACTTTTATATTTTATGCCCTGCTTAGCTTAGAGTTCTACCTAGTGAGGCATCACTGTACTGCAGCACCACCTCCTTCCCACTCTTTCCACTCACCTGCTGCTCGGCCAGCGCTAGCATTGTGCTGGCATCCACATCCGCCGGCTGCTCCGCTCTGTCCGCCGTCTCCTTCAGCCAATTGTGCAGCTGCGACAGCAGCTGATGCACGGCTCTATAAAGCTGAGCGCCCAGCTGCAGCTCGGCGAGCACAAACAGCGTCCAGGGCGTGGACATGGGCGTGGCTGTGCCACCAGTGACTGCTGCTTCCTTTGCCGTCTGGGCTATGGTGCAGCCATTGGCCAATTTCCTCCACAGGCTGAGCAAAGGCTTGATTTGCTGTTCCATCCGCTGCCTGGAGTTGGGTGTGGCCAATCCGCTGTCAGCAGCAGATCCGCCAAACTGCAATGCGCGCAGCTCCTTGATGATTTGGCGCGCCTGCTCCATCTCGCGCTGCTGCTGCGCCTGACTGGCGAGTCCATACATGCGCGGCTCATCCACATCGGGCAATCGATCGACGGCCGCGTAGTAATCCTGCAGCTGGGCGCTGGTGGGCATAGAACTCGGCATGCCCAGTGGCTGCCAGCGACTGCTCAGGACATCCGCACAGCAGAATTGGGATAGATAGCTCCTTAGTATGTCCACATCTCGTTCGTTGTTCATGCGTCCGCCATAGGCCACCGCCTCGCAGAGACGCTGCATCAACGTCCAATCGCAGCGTCCGCTGTTCAGCTGCGCATCCAGCCAGCCCAGCACGCCGAGGGCTGCCTTGAGGTCAGCCTCGCCGAACTCGTAGTACTTCGACCAGCCCTGGGGTATATACTGGCGGCGCTGCTGGAGCACAGCCTGCAGCAAGAAGAGCACCAAGCGCATCTTCAAGCACTTCGCTGGCTGCTTGCTAGACGCCTCGGGCTGCAGGCCGGCGTAGTTCTGCAGCATTCGCTGCACCTGCTGCTTGAGGCCGCGCGGCTGCTCGTATCGCACCTTCAGACACTTGTAGACAGCCGCCTCGCTGAAGCCTTTGGTGGACTCGCAGAGCAGCCATAGGCGGAACTCCTGAGACTTGTGCAGCTCGCTCAGCTCACGCTCCATCTGGCCCAGCCACTCGGGCACCAGATGCACATTCTTCACGCACAGCCACTGACCCTGGCCCGCTGCCTGCCGCATGGCCGCCAGGGCGCGCTGCTCACTGCCACGCCCTATGGCCAGCTCCACGTACTTCTCGGGTCCCCACTTCTTCAGAGCTACGCCACGCAGCTCTGTGGCTGGATCTAATTCGGGTTGGCTGATCATCAATATGGGGCGATCGCAGCTGCTCTGCTCCAGCAGCTGCTGCACGGTGGGCTGTGTGGCAGCCTCTGGGGATAGACCCAGCAGCTGGCTGCTGGCCAAACGTAGTTGCGTGAGCATCAAATCGGGTCGAAAGATTTGCGTCACCAGCACGCGCTGAAAGTGGGACTTGATGTTGGCTGCATGAGGAGAAGGGATGATATCGGAATGAGTAAAAAGCAAAGAAAGGCCTTTAGTGTATGTAGCCTACGTCTAGAGATCTGGGAGTAGGAATTGTCCAGGCAGAGTCAAACCTCCTCAACTGAAGTTGTCGAGGACAGATATGAATTCTATCTATGTTATAAAAGTCCTGAAGTCCCAAGGAAGCAAGTGCGAAATGATGTTGGCTGCCCATGTGTCTAGCTTAAGGCACAGCTCAACAAGGGGTTGGACTCAACAGATATTGGTTCTAAATTCTGTTATGAAAGAGCTAAGGACGTCGTACTCCCTCAATAGGTATCTAGCAGAATCATATAACTATCGCATTCACATACTAATCAGCTGATTTATCTACTCACGCAGTATATCGTCCGTTTGCTGCTCGATAAAGCCGCGCCACACGTAATCCTTGTCCAGCTGCAGTTGTGCCCTGAGGTCCGGCAGCTGCTGCAGCAGCAGCGCCAGCTTCAATTGTGAGTCGCGGCTCATGCAGTCGGGCAGGGCGCCACTTAGCTGACAGCTGCCATCGGCGCTGCCCATGAAGTTGCTGACAAACAGCTCCCACTCCTTGGCGCCGATGGCGGAGCCGAAGGCCTGGCGGCAAACCCACAAGGCGAGCGTTAATTGACTTTCGCGAGGTGTTGCACGCGCCAGATGCAGATAGACGCTGCGCACGAGGCGCTCGAACAGCTGCTGCTGCGGCAGCTGCTGAGCATCCTGAGCACGCAATGCGCCCAGGAAGAGCTCAATGTAGACGAGGGCCGATAGCTCGTAGCCCTGCGTGAGGCCAGCGTAGAAGTTGGCCGCCTGCTCGCAGAGCTCCCGCAGTGTACCAAATTGTGAGAGCAGCGTTTGCTTGACCTGTCCGCTTTGCTCCAGCGCCGCATCGATTTCGGCGCTGCTGCGCTTCACCTCGTTCAGGCTGGCCAGGAGCGGCTCGTTGCGCAGAATGTCGCCCTCGGCCTTGGAGAGCTGTTCGAGCAGCTTGTCCTGGAGCGCCATGCGCTGCTTAAGCAGCTCGCCCTCTCGCTCCAGCAGCTCGATGCGCTGCTGCTCCAGGGCCGGATTCTTCAGCACAATCGCCTTGGACATTAGCTGATCGGCCAGCCCAGTGGCCGTCACCGTGAAGCGCAGCAGATTCACTTGACCTCGCTGTTCCGGCGGCAGCTGCTGCAGGCGATGAGACTTGCTGATCAGCACCAATTGGAAATCCTCATGGAGATCCACCAACTTATTGCCCACTGCCAATTGGCGCTTGTTGAAGCGCACATAGATGTGCAGCTGCAGCAGCTCCAGCAGCGGTGGACGCAGCTGCTCGCAGTCCAGCACCAGCAGCGTTTTGCCAAAGCGCACGGCCAGCTCCAGCTGGTAGCAGAGTCGCTCGTTGCCCTGGCTTGTCAGCTCGCTGGCTCGTCCCGTCGCACGCAGATGCGCGCTGAGCCACTGCCCCGCCGTCTGGGTGGGATCCAGCAGCAGCGGCACTGGACAACTGCCAAAGGGCAGCGCCAGCATCTCACGCAGCAGCGCAGCGCTCTCGATGATCTGCGCGTCGCGCGCCAAGCCTTGACTCTCCCAAATGATTTGCTGCTGCTCTGTGACGAGAGTTCGGCGTAGCTCAAAGCCGTCAGAGCCGGAGAGCTGGAATTCCTTGCTCAGACGTTTGATTAGGGTGCCGCGTTGCTCGACTCCCCAGCCGGCATAGTAATTGATGGCCAATGCCAGCAGCAGCGTCTTGCTGTCGAGTGTCTTGTGGGCGCGCTTCAGTTCGGCCAGCTGCTCGCTCCAGGTGGCATACTCGGCACTCAGCTTGCCCACCAAGAGCTCCGCTGCCTGCAGCGTGGCGCCCGCCTCTTGCAGCTTCAGCTCCAGCACCGCCGCCTCCTGCGTGTAGGTTTGCAACTTCGCAGACAACTTCTGCACGCGCTTGTCCACATCGTCCAGGCCGCTGGCGAGCTGCTGCATCTCATCTTCGGCGGCATTTAGATTGCGCTGCAGCTCATTTTGCTCCCGCTCAAGCGGCTTGATGCTCTGAATGACGCGTGAGTAGCGCACGCTGGCCTGGACCCAGGCGGCGAGTGGTGCGGCAGCTGCAGAAGCCCGCTTCGCATTCTTCGACTCGTAGGAGTCACCTTTGGCCTGCAGCAGGCGCTCCACGGCCTGGCAGTTCTCGGGGCTAATGTGTGCCGGATCCAGGGAGCGTATGTCCTCCTTGACGCCGCGCTTGGCCAGAAACGTTTTCATGCTGTTCCACGAGGTGTCGCGTATGCCCATCAGCCGCAGCACACCTTCCAGTATGTCCCGCACGGCTTCGGGTGGAGCGCGGAGCGAGCGTATTTCGGACAACGCCTCGGATTTGATTTGGCCCACCGCATTGCTGGCCTCCGCCAAGATCGGCTCCACCTCGGCCAACTCCTGCTGTATCTCGCGCTGTCGCAGCTTCAGCTGTTCGCTGCTCTGCTGCGTCTTCTGCTTCAGCTCCAGCATACTCGACTTCTGCTCGTTCGCATTGTGCATCGTCGCCGAGATCATTTGCAGTGCATCGTTGGCCAGCTTTCGCTTCTCGCCCAGCGCCTGCTCCTGCTCCGTCGCATTGGCCTTCAGTGTGCCGACCAGAGCATGTGCCGCAGCCAGCTTATCCACGCCCTGCTGCAGCTTGCCCATGCGCCGATCAATCTCGGCTGCTGCATTGCTGTACATGTGGAAGTAGCTGCTGATGAGCTGATAGTAGCGATGCGCCGGCTGCTCTGGCGGCAGCTCTTCGGCCACATCGACGAAGTGACTGCAGACGGGCACCTTGCCACGCCCCGCGGCCGCGGACGTCGCCTCGTTGAGCAGCTCAATGTACTGCTTGGGCAGCATGGCCAGCGTATCACGTGACTCTGCACGTACGTAGAGCATATCCATTTGACGAAGCAAGGCTGGGCAGCTGCTGAAGTACTCCGCCAGCTGTGGACTGCTCGGCTCGAGCACCAGCACCAGGTGCAAATGCTCTCGTGCACCTGCAATCCGTTTGAGATATGTCTTAGGTATGACTACTACACCTCTGTCCCTCCATCCACACACTCACGCTTCATAAAGTATGCACCCAGCGACTCCTGATAGCCCTCCAACTGTGCCGCCTGCTTCAGCGTGCTGGCCACCGTCTCCAGATCGTCGCCAAACAACTCCAGTATTTCACTGCCCTCCAAGAGTGCCTCAATGGGCTTTAGTATATCCGGCACGTAGCTCAGCCAGCAATGCTCGATGAGCAGGTAGCTCATCTGCTGCTCCAGCGCTGCCGTCTGCATTGCCAGCTTCAAATCATTGTAGAAATCCGGTAGAGCATAGCTGGCGTTGCCCTGCAGGGTCAAGACCTTGGCCTGTTGCAGCGTGGCAGCTGCATAGATGGCATCCAGGTGGCGGTCACCTGCCTCAGCCAGGATCAGCAAGTGTGCATCGTTGCGGGAGAGGATTCGTGCTACCTTGGCTGTGTGCTGCAGCAGCTCCTCCGTGACGGGGGCCGAAATGCTATAGCTTTCGGTATCTAGGGATGAGAATTGAAAAGGTTAACATAGATTCAACAGAGACTCTGTTACAGAATCTATTTAATCAGCTAACGACTTTCAGAGTAGGCTAGGAGTAACGCTGCCTTAACATATTCCATTTACAAAATTCTTATAAAATAACTTAAGATTCATCTATTCATTAACAACTATTTTCTCTTACCTAACAGAAGTTTACTTCTACTTTTACTTTATACTATTCTTATTCATTTTCAAAAAATCAAAAATTGTACTTCTGTGTGTTTCGAAACTGTTTCGGTTATTTTCAACCCGTTCTCTGTGTACTTCCAGTGGATGACCCCCGAAGAGGAGGCACGCCAAAAGTTCATCATGCGGGAACGAGATCGGGAACGCAAGCGCATCAAACGCATGAATCCCGAATATCGGCAAATGGAACGGGAGCGAGATCGATTTCGCAAACAGACGCCAAGGCCCAGTGTAGTTATCCCGATTCATATTGTATTATTTTTGTCTATTTTCCACTATTCCTTTTTTATTTCAAACCTCTCTGAACTACTCATATCTTGAAACGGCAAAGAGCCTAAACCTAAATTTCTGCGCATAGCTTTGAGGCAAATGTGAAGTTTTAACTACAATTTATGTGATATATAAGAAATCTAAGTAGAATCAGCAACTAAAGTTAAATTAGATTGAGGGTAATTCACCTAAGTTATAAAGAATCTTAGGATAGCTGTTTAGTTAATAATTTATAATTAATTTGATTAAAGGAAGAGAATGTCGATTTAAATATAACACAAATTAGCTTAGGTATATCAGAAATTAAGTGGAGATTTTATGTTATATAAGAACAGCTTACAAATATAGGAAATAGTTAAATCAGTATATGGATAGATTGAAATTTTTATATTTAAATAATTATAGTGAATCCTCTATGCTACGACTAGTACCTAGTACATAGCTTCATAAGAGTATCAGTCATAGTACAGCCCATCTTTAATCACTTACTACATATTGTAATTTGCCTTTGCACCTCCTCCAGCCACTCGTCGTGAGCGAGTCCTTGCAGTTGTCCCCTAGACTTTGGCGATTTGGGCACATAGTAGATTTTCTATAAATATATAGATTTGAGGCAGTTGACAGGGAATCGCTGAGGTGATTTTAAACAAGATTTACACCCACCTCCTTGCCCAAGTATTTGCGCATGGTTTGCTTCAGAATAGACTCAAATTGCTGCACATGCTCCTCGCTGGCCAAACGATCCCTGAACAGGCCCAACAGCTCGCAATGCAAAGCCTGCAAATGGACAGAGAAACGGCAAAAGTGAGGCAATTCAATTAGCTGCCAACGCAGTCACTTACCTCATTGAAGTCTGTGGACGGATAGTAAACGAGGGCCGCCAAGAGCTTCATAATGCACTTGGGACTAAACTGATAATGCAACTGCTGCTGCTGCTGCTGTTGTTGCTGTTGCTGTGCAGTAAAAACCGCCTGAAGCTGCAAATAGAGAAATCCAGCTAAGCGAATCAGGCTGAAAGCAAATGCAGCAGGCAGTCGACCGACTTTACCTTTTCAAAGCACTCCATTAGACACTCGCTGACGTGCTGCAAATTGATGGGACTGCCAGGAGGTGGTTTGAAGTGCGTGTGGAGCAGCGGCTCGAGGCGGCACTGGACGATGGCCAGCATATCAGCAGCACTCGGCCGGGCCACGCGCACGAACTGATTGATGGCCAGGTAGCGGGGTGAAATTTTTGACAAATTGCCACTAATGGAGGCACAAATTTGCAGCCCACTGACGCTGATCCATTCCAGATTTTCCGCATAGAAGCCGCCGCGCTGCACCAACTGCAGCAGCAGCTCGACAATCTCACAGGCGCCCCAGGCATCCAGCTGGCACAAGTCCAGATTCTTCATGAACAGCACCAGCCTCGACTGCTTCGGCTTATATTCCCGCCCGCGCACGCCGCTCACCGTGACGCAGTGCGTGCGCAGCGTGTGCAGCACATAGCCGACGGTCAGCTGTGTGGAGCAATTGATGCTGGCCAGCTGGTAGCCCGAGCACTCCAGCAGCGCCTGCTCCAGCAGCAGCGTCTTGCCCGCTCCACTGGGACCGACCAGTATAAAAGGCGTCGCACGTCCAGCCGGCAGCTCTAGCAGCGAATTGATAATACTCAGATATGATTTCACATAAGCAGTCACAATGAGCTCGCTGCCCTGCTCGGGCGCCTCTATGACGCCCACCACGTGCTGCTCCAGTGCTTTGCGCTGCGGGTCGTAGTAACTCAGCTCGGCATGATTCGGCTGTGCCACATAGAGATTCGCGCGCTGCAGCACCAGCTGTGCGAACTCTCGCTGCCGCTCGCTGGGAACATAGCCGAGCATCGTGCGCAATGTGGCTGCGCCATACTCCTCGATCGTCTGGCTATTGTGCAGCTGCAGCAGCAGGGAGCGCAGCAAACTGGACCGACTTACGCCAGGCACTTGACTAAATGGGCAATAGATATGTAGGGTTAAAGGTTTTTGTAGGTTTAATTAAGCAATTAGGAATACTTAAAAGATGATTGCTTCTGTATGTTAAAGCTTAGGAAACTATTGAATTCCTATAATCTTAATCAGATATATCACATTAGCTTACTCACCCCAACAATTGCTCATTTTGAAGCCAGTCGTAGGCTATTCTGAAGTTTTCATCTATGTAGCTTTGCAGTAGATCGCCGTACGGCTCCTTTTCCAGCTCATGCTTGAGCACTTCAGTCAGGGGATAGCAGTCGTAGCTGTTTGGAATGACATTCAGTTAGTAGCAAATGCTATACACTCACCAAAATCACTTACCTCATGTTGACAATGCCCATGCGTGATATGGTTGCCGGGGAGGCGTGACGCACATCGTCCGTCTCGAATATAAAGTTGACATTGTTGCCGAACTGTATGCGCCAGCCAGAGGGCAGCGTAAGGAGTCTGCGAAACGTTTCAAGATATGATTAGTTTCACATTACTAAAGTTAAAGCACACACAAAACACCAACAGAAACAGTTTTCATGTATTCCGCTTTGACATGTATATGTCTAATGGCTGTAAAAAATAAGAAAGAATAATTCCCAAGATGTCGCGAACTGCATTTAATGACAGCAACATTTGCTTAACATCACCTGTTAAAAGTTCCCCATGCATATATGACAGTTGTTCTGTTAAGCTTCTACAGAGTTCTTTTGACTGTTAATAGAAATGTTAATTTCTCGTTGTTAATGATGATTATCTTCTTCGATTCGAGAATTCTCGCTCGCAAGCAGATGAAAGAGCGTTAATTTAATTTTCAAACAGATTTCTTTTCATTTTATTTCATTTGAATATCTACTGATTAGCATTAGACATATACATGCTCAGCTGCACGAAATTCTATACCCAAAATAATATTCTGTTCTGTATTGAACTGTTTCCCATTGAGCTGCTTTTAGTTTAGTTCTGGTATTTGATACTCTTCTTCCATCGCTTCCCATCTCTATATTGCAGCTGATGACACCCGAGGAGGAGGCGCGCCACAAGTTCATCATGCGCGAGCGAGATCGAGAGCGAAAGCGCATCAAGCGCCTGAATCCCGAATATCGGCGTATGGAGCGCGAGCGCGATAGATTTCGCAAGAAGGCACGACGTGCTAACGTAGCATTTTTCCAATATATATTTTTAAATTATATATAAAATACATACACACGCACACTCACGAATACACACACTCACACACACACATACACTCATAGACAGACGTCGACTGCAGCGTTAGCTCGAAGTAGTTGGGGCTGGGAATTGCTTTCGGTCAGACTTATTTATCATTAGACGCCAGACGACTGCTGGACCTTCAATACAGAACACAATCACCCCCAGTCGCTTGAGCCAGCCACATTGTGCTTTAATAAGTTTTCCCCGTCTCCATTTGACTTTCAGTTGACGCCCGAGGAGGAGCTGCGCCAGAAAATGATACAGCGCGAAAGAGATCGTGAACGGAAGCGCATCAAACGCATGAACCCCGAGTATCGCCGGCTGGAGCAGGAGCGCGATCGTGATAGAAAGAAGGCGCGACGCGCCAATGAGGCGTTCCGGCAGCTGGAGAAGCTACGTGATAAGATACGCAAGGAGCGCAAGAAGGGTCTCCTGGTGACTGATCCCACACAACTGCCGCCCGAATTCGCGGCCATTATACCGCCAGTGCCTGTTGAACCTGAGGTGATCATATCGACGCCTCAGACCCAGCAACAACAACAGCAGCAGCAGCAGCAACAACAGCAGCAGCATCAGCAGCAACAACAACAGCAGCAGCAGCAACCATCCACACACCACCAGCAGCAGCAGCAGCAACAGCAGCATCAGCTGGCAGCAGCTGCTGCAGCGGCGGCGCACCAGCAGCAGCAGCAGCAGCGACGCCGCAACATGTCCCATGTGCCAAGCGCGACGTCTGGCCTGACGCAGTTGGCGGCGCCAGCTGGCCATGCCACGCCCACGCATTTGCAGCAGCTGAACAAGCTGCAGCAGCTGTATCCGCCGCCCAGCTTTGGGCATCCCGCCCTGCCCATTCCCGGCGTAACGCTGATGCCCCAGCTCTGCCATCCCATACTGCACCAGAATCTGGGCGCCTCACTGTACCCAGCGCCACCGAACGGCATCAAGCAGGAGTACGGCTGCCAGGATGTGAGTAGCTTAAGCGCTGCTGCCGCCGCAGCCGCAGCGACGAGCTCTGCCTCGGCAGTGGCTGCCGCCCAGGCGGCGGCGCTTGCCTCGCTGCGCGGCGGCCCCCAGCAGCAGTCTGACGACCCAGACATGGCGCTGAATCTGGAGCCAGAGATTATATTGCAAACGCCACCCGATGTCAATCCCGCGCAGCAGCAGCAGCAGCAGCATCACTTCAGTGCACACCAGCAACAGCAGCAGCAGCAGCAACACCATCTGCAGCAGCAACAGCAGCAGCACTGCAACATGTTTCAGCACATGGCGCCGCAGGCGCATATGCAGCATATGCGAGCAGCTCCGTTGCCGCCTCCGCCCACAGTTTCGCTGCCCCCGCCGCCGCCGGCGACGTCAACGGCGTCGCATCAACAACAGCCGCAGCCGCAGCCTCAACCACCACCGCCGCCGCCTCCGCAGCAACAGCAACAGTTGCAGCAGCATGCGCAATAATATGAGATTAACGCACTCGCCTTTAGTTCTTAAGCTCAACTAGCCACATACGCATTTCACAGTTCAAGTTCATGTTTATTTTGTTAAGAGAG